TGAAGCGCCAACAAAAATTCTCATGATCTTTTATCATGGATTTTTGACAATCATAGAGATCTTATTAATGTGTGTGTATACCATAGAAAACAAAGCTTAAAAGCATTGTCTTTGAGTATGTACTTTACATAGGGAATTCTTCAAAATAAAGCTTAAAAGCATTGTCTTTGAGTATGTACTTTACATAGGGAATTCTTCAAAAACGTGATTTCACAACCACTTCAGCCCCACCATGGCTGGGGCTGAGGTGAGAAAATTTGAGGAAATAGTACCTCTCGAAATTGCCGGAAATGACACTTTTATATAGTAAAATTCATCATCATCCCATTACCATTATATCAAAATGAAACGCCAACAAATTTCTCATGGTCGTTTATCAGGGATATACTTAATAACCCCCTGGATACGTCCCTGATTCAAGACAAACTTAAGCAGTATGAATAAAGCATCTTCAATCCATTATTTAGTTACCCTCATCATAGAGGAAATATATGGCTTCACTGACTTAACGTCCAAGGATGTTGAGAAGGGTGGAAATTACGTTAGGCCTACCTAAGGTGCCATTGATTTTACCATCATTTGGCCTTGTGGATCATACTGTGCTGATTAGGAAGTTAACTGCAGGGCCGGCGGAACGTTTTTCAATGTGGGGGCCCACTAGGTAGTAAGATGAATGGGAATATGAATCAGGGGGATCTGGGCTCAAATTTAGGGGGCGGGGTCAACATTTATCCAAAAACCCAAAAAAGGAAGGGAGCCCTGGGGTTCTCCCTCGAGAAAATATTGATTTCTAGATGGCGGGAAAGGAGTTTTCCCGACTTTTGAGCTTGTAAATTTTAAGTTCTTCAAATTCCAAGGTTCCCCCTCTTGAAAATGGTCAGGTAAACTTTCTCATTCTTATTACATTAAATAGACCTGTATACATGCATAAAAAAATTGAGTAGTTGCATACTTATTCTTTTTTCCATGAATCGATAAACCTCAAAGAAAAAAGAGGGTACGTGGGTTCTCCCCCGGGAAAAAATTTGATTCCTAGAAGGCGGGAAATGAGCTTTTCCGACTTCTGAGGTGTCTCCTAATGAATGTTAGTCTCATACTCTGGATCATACAGGAATTTAAGCTGTTGACTTTTTATACATTTTTTTTACCGCAATAGTTAAATGAAATTAAATTTTGCCATTAATGTAAGTTTTTGATAATCTTGTAATATTGGCACTGGCTAGGCACGCCACTAACCAATCCCTTGCAAATCAGTGATCTCCGCTTAATAAAACTCTCGTTACAAAAATGGCTAGACTTTACGTGTTTGTGAATAGGCTTACAATATAGACTTTACTGGGGCTCACCTCTGTGGACCCCACCTCTGTGGACCCCGTCTATGCGATAGTCAGGGTAATCTTTGGATCGGTGGTCCTTCGTAACAGGCCTAACATGAATTTAAAATCTGTCAACTAATCACTTGCCTTGTAGAACACTTATTATAGAGAAAAAATGAAAAAAAAAGGCAAAACATATTCTATCTCACCAAACGGATCGTTGCTAAAAATTCTTTGCAAAGCAGGCTTCGATTCGTGTGTCAGTAACTCCTCTGTAGCGAGTGCGTTTGTGACTTTAGTGGTGTGAAAATGAATTTCAGTTGCAGTTTTCTCCATCAGAAGTTGTTGCATTAAGTAACTCTCACGTTGAGTCGGAAGAAAAGATATCTCGTGAATCTACAGAAACATGATTATTAGAAAAACATGTATGCCAATTATCGTGTCGGACGTCCTTATTATTATCATCACCATTCACCACAATTAGTGTCGTAAGTTACTGCACTTGCTATTTTTACTGCTATTGTTATTTTCAATTTGTATACTGTAGTTATATTATTATTATTGCCATGACTTGTATAAATAGGCCTACTATTTCAAAATGATCTGGGATAATTCAATATCAGTCTCATAGAGAAAGAAAATCTATAGTAGTGGGTGGTTATAATTGTTAAATTTATTTTATTGTTATTTTTATTATGATCATTATTATTATTGCCATGATCTGTAGCAATAATATGATGTCTTACGATATCTTCGTTGTTATTTTCATTATTTTTAATATTATTATGATCTGTAGCGAAACTACGTCTTGTGTGGTCCGAACGCTGACCTGTCCATCTTTGATCTCTGACAATTCCTTGATGACATCACCGCTTTTTAAATGTAGAATAAATTCACATCAGTGTTTTCATGTTTCCGCTCTGTTCGATTCTATTCTTATTACTTGTTATAAAGCAATAATGTTCTTTCTGAGAAACGTAAACAAAACGATTAAGTTTACTATTTGATTATTTATACATTTTACATGTATATCTTGTAAAAAAAAATAAATTAGGCATCGTCATTCTCGTTCTCTTCTTACTATCATTGTGCCCCCATCGTCATGAGTCCTCATTATCGTCTCCCACCCCCCTCCTCGTCATCACATTATTCCCTTAACTGCACTGTCATCGCCATTACCTGCTTCTTTTTCCCTCCTTATCATCGTCGTCGTTTTTATCGCCGTCACGTTGTCATCGTCGTCATTCATCACCATCTTAATCATTATCCTAATTGTCATCTTATTCATCATCATCATCACCATCATCATAATCAGCGTCATTATTATGAAATCAGGGAGTTGTTATTTAGGAGTCACAACACATTTATCTACTCATCTGCAGCCAATGAGCGAAGCGCGGTGTACTGAATCTTCAAAGAGAACCGTGACTAGCTGCCTGTCTTTTGTCAATAGGGTACATTTCCGACGATCTTGCGCCCTCAGTTGTTAAAATTTTGTCTTCGTAGAGAAAATAATTTCGTGACAAACGACCAGTAGAGCATGCGCAGAGTTTTTTTTATTCAATTTTCGTTGTTCAATCAATTTGCATCTCAAGAGAGTTTTACGAAGAATAATTTACAAAAAACCGCATAAAAATTCGCCTTTTCGTTAAAAAGTTACGATTATTTGAAGTGGAGCTATATGTGTTTGTTCGTACACCGTCATTTGTAATTTTCATGGGTTTTTGGTAACTTTTAAAGCTT